TTTATTTTATTTTTTTTATTTTATTGTAAGTAAAGTAAAAATGTTAATAAGAGAAAGAAACAATTTTTTTAATTTAAAAAATTTTCGATTTAACCTTTCCACAGAAACTTTAAAGTTTTGTATTTTACACTTTAATCATCAATATTTAAAAATCGAATACAAAAACAAAACTACATTTTTTTTTAAATTAAACTAATTATATACAAAATTTGTATATAATAAAAAAATTTGTTTAAAAAAAAAGTAATTAAAAAAAAAAAATTTATAAAATTTTTCAGTTCTTAAAATAATAAGCCAAACAAATTTGTTTGTATATAAAAAAAAATTGGTTAAGTGGAAAATGAAATAGGTGATTTCGTTTTCAAGAACACGGTAGTTCGCCCGCCTTATCGCCTAGGCGAATGCAAATATTTGTAGTCTATTGAGCGGCTGTCCGCAGTTGAAATGCAGAGACGCCCACGTCAAGCCGTGGGATTAGTGTTGATTTTGTTCATATGAGGGCTTTATTCGTGTTATCTTAAACGTGTTATAGCTTTAATTAAAATCGTTGAATTGACACTTATTCGACAGGTATTTGGACTGATATTTGACGGTTACGGAGATTTCAATGTGGATGACAGCCGTGCTCCCTGTACAATTATTAAAATATTTTCCTCTTTTTTTATACAGCTATAATTTTTCAAAAAGTTTGGTTTGCCCTTTCTTCGATACTGTTAAAAAATTTGTTTGTTCGACAATTTTTAACATGAATTTTTTGCGTTTTGTTTTCTTATGTAAAAACCCGCCAAACGAGTGTGACGGGAGTGGATCGAAAGAAAAAGATGGAAACTATCATATATATAAAAAAAAAAAAAAGAAGAGAGAACACTGACACTTATTCCACGTCATCGTCATCATCTGGGGGCGGAATATACTCCGGAACGGCATCCTCTTCCCCAGCGTTATCCTCCGGCTCCTCCGGTACTGGATCGCCCATAATGATCTGCTCAGCCAGTTGGTATAGCTCAAGTATGTTCTATAAAACGTATACAGAGTATTTAAAGAATGTTAAAAGTTTGAATTAGTATATAGTCTAGGTTAAGATATAGAGAGTATGTATGAAAGGATGCAGATAGTTTATGTTGAAGACGTGAAAAGTATGTAAAGGGAATGTAAACAAAATGTTAAGGAAGTGAACATGTACAAAGTATTTAAAGTATAGATGGATTAGTCTGTCTAACTATAGACTATATAAGAACTATAGAGATTATACTGAAAAGCATATAAATCAGCTATTTACTCCAAATAGCTCTAGATAAACTTTCCCTTTGGCTCACCTTGGCGTTCCGTAGTGCCACAATTTTCTCATCCTCATAGCGCAATTGATCGTACTGCTGCTTGGATATGAGCAATCCCCGATTGAACTCATCCTCCATCTCTTGCTGCAGTACCTCGGCGTACTGTTGCTTAGCAACCGTCAAGCTAATCAAGCTCTCACTCTTGATGGATTCCTCGGTAACATCGGAGGCATCGTCCAGGTATTTGCTTTGAATGGCGCCCGGATAGTCGCCAAAGCTGCCCGACGCATCATGCGGCATCTCGATGCTGCCCACGCCCATCTCTTCCATGAAGAAGCCATCCGCATCGCTGCTGGGAGCCACCGTTGTCGCCTGCTCCTTCTTATCTGCATCTAGTTGGTGGCGTATGCGCAGCTCTGTCTCCCGGAACTTTTGGCTGCACATGCCAAATTATGAATAGTTAAGTTTCAGAGCACTTTGCTGCACTTACCGGGCGCGAACGATGTTGAGAATATCCTTCGGATCCGATGTGAACGGCATGGGCACACGCAACGAACGTTCCTTCATTTTGGCTCGCTCCGTTTCAAGGAACTCCTTCAGATTCTGTTCGCAATCACGCCAGTCCTCGTTGTCAATGCTGGCGGAGTGGGGAATAAGAGTTCGAAAATGAATTAGAATAAACCATTTGTAACCAAATTTAGTTTAAGTTAAGTTTTCTATGGAATTTCCCTTGAGTATTTTTCTAGTCTTTTATATACTGAGAAATTAATTACATTCTCTTCTTCATGTATGCTAGAAACCTTAAACCATGGAAATCATAGATCCTTTAGTTGCATGGTGTCTTGTTAGTCGACTTGAGGGTTACGAATTCTTATCCAACAGATTTAATTTATAAGCTCCAATTATTACAAAACCAAAAAAAAAAGTTTTGCAATTTTTTTTTTTTTTTTTTTCAATAATTGTAAAGAAAAGAAATCCAAATATTGCGAAGTGATTATGTTATATACTCTATAAAACATTATGGATTAAAATATAATATAAAGATCTATTGGAAAATAAAGGAGTGCAGCAGATTCACATATTCCTGAGGATATATAAAAAATGATGTAAATTGCTCTCAACATCTTTATAGATACAAAACTATCTAACTATACTAAGGTCAGCCATTCAACTGCTTTATTGGCAAAGAACTTTATCTCAGATACTTAAAGTTTATCAAAGTCGCTTTTCTCTACTTGAAACTCGTGCACTTTCACTGTTGTTATTTTTTTCTTCCGCCAACAACAGAAGCATTTGG